ACCCATACATTTATACAAAAAGTTCTTGTATTTTAAATGAATATTGTAGTCCCAAGCAACAATAAATGTTTAAGGCATTGTTTTTTCTTGTAATAGCAAAAACTAAATGATAATTTAAATAATTAATTAGATTTGAAATTAAATAAAAATGAAAAGGATAAGATTTATATCAACCTACATTTCTCATACATGTATGTAACAGTATGAATTTACAAAATATACAAGTTTCTCGAACATAGCTTTTCACACACATGTAAACCACCTTTTCTAATGTATTTTAATGTATATGTAACACGTGGCTGATAATACACATACTATATTCATCAACGTATGTGTAATGCGAGCGTTATAATATAAGTTAACCATAATTTATATATGTACATTAGTACATGTACCGGTAATGTATGGTTTATAATACACATGGAATTTGTGCTTTATAAAACATATGTAAAACATGACTTCATTAACGTACGTGTAACATGTGGTTGACTTTACACATGTAAACCATGTGTTCATTAACGTACGTGTAACATGTGGTTGACAATTCTCATGTAAACCATACGTTTATTAACGTACGTGTAACGTATGGTTGCACTTAACATATGTTACACATACGTGTAACGTATGTAACACGTGCGTGTATTTCAAACGTACGTTTCACGTACGTTATGTGAAACATATGTAGTCACACACATGTTATACGTACGTTGTACTACATACGTAAAACGTATGTTTGTAATACACGTATGTGATACGTACATTTCACATACGTGAAACGTGTTTTGTGCAACCATATGTAACACGTACGTGGCACAATTAGCTGTGTAACAGACTTGATCCTGTGCAGGTGTTTTCAGGCTGTGGACGTATTTTGTTACATATTGGGGAAAGTTGGACGTAAAACAAAATCATGCAATACAAATTGAAGGTGTGAATGTGCAGGCGGCGCGGAACTAGATCTTATTTTTTTTAGAATTTTTTTTTCTCTAAAATGTCTCTAAATGTAATTATGTAAGTATGAATCATATGGACAAAACGATCTGAACTCGAGCTCAAATGTCTTTAAAACAGTACAGAATAGGAGTGAAGCAAACACGGTCCTAAAATGATAGAATTGGAATCAAGTACCATGGAGGAGTGAGCATGCACAGCTGACCGGACACAGATATCGTTTGCTCCTTGTCATGATCGAAAAAACCCCAGAATATTTGAATTAATGATGTATTGTGTCTTATGGTTAGCACTCAAAAGAAGATATTCAGATTACTGTTATAGCAAGAAAACAAAACTAATACATTAAGACAAGTAATACAATAATTAAAAAATGAATAAAGGTTAATCTTTCTCCATTTTCAAAAGATTTATTTGAATCCTTAAGAAATTACATGAGTATTTTAAAAAAAATGTCATGAAAGCATTGAATGATGAAGAAACATCTCTTCTGCATGGCCCTGAGTGGCCGAGTAAAGGTATATATTTTAAGCCATTCACGAAAACATGGTGAATTCTGTAGATCTGTATGAGACATTCTTGAAAGGGACATCAAATAATGATCAACCTGTAGTTATTGTCACATTCAGAAGTGTAGATATTGGCAGTTCTAATATCTGTAGATCAGTATCTCCATAAAAGAGTTCGCCAAATTGATGCTGTTTTTTAACCTCTGCAAGTAACTGTCCCGATATTTAATTTAAGAAATAAAGAGTAAGTTATTTATTCTTTTAATTACGAATGTCCCAAATTTCTTCATTTCAAAAAAGAAAATTTCGTGCTAAACATTCTCACTATATAGGTGTACAGATACATAAACAAATACGTGTTTTAAAAATGTAATAATCTGTTTTCAAAATCTCATGATCTTTTGCACCATGGAATGTTGAATGATACCTATCAGTTAAGTAAACAGGGATTCATGTCAAAGACGTAAAGAAATACACACACTGTAGATATAAAATAAATAAATAACATTGTGGAACTACAAAATAAGATTTATTTTCATTCCAAGCAGATCAAAGTTACTTTTTCTAATAACAGGTAGATGTTAGAATGATCAAGAAGAGGTTTGTAAACACATTAATCGGTTATGTGATAGGCGCCCTTACAAATTAATTTATGTTACATGTAAGTAGACTTTTGACCTGGATTGATATTCGTTATCTCTACAAATTTAATGTTTGGTATTTTAAGGAGGAATGTCACAAATGATTTTTTTTCTTTTTGAATTTTTCAGAAAATAAAAGAAATAAATATTTTAATGGCAAATTTGGTGCTTTATGGCCTAACATTATTTGTCCATGGTCAATAATTTTGGCAGGTAGACAGAATTTCTTTTTTGCTGTGAAAAATCATCTATTTGAGTAATATTTTGAAAACAATAAAATAATAAAACAAAACTTCGGAGAGGAAATTAGCGAATGCAAAAGAAATATTATTCTATGCATTTAAGTGAAGAATCATCTTTTTTCCTAAGTATGCAATTAGACATACTATTTTATAAAACAGACCTTTCAATTTTATATAGCATCAACAATTCATTTTATATTACTTATAACGCTATATGACAATATACAACATTAAACATCAAAATGATACTGTCAAATGCATCACTCCTTTGAATCTGTAAGGCATAGAGATTAAGGATTCTGTGCCCCTCGGATAATTCTCAGGAATATAAACATAAGATATAGAGTTAACAAAAAGTATTCAAGTACATAAAAACAAAATAGGAGCAGAACAAAACATGCCTCTTAATGTCATTTTCAGAGTATTTTTCTTTTTTTACAAAATAATCATGCAAATGACCAGGAAAGTAAATTAACCAGTTCGATTTTTATTGAAAAAGCAGAGCTCTGTTAATGATATCAAAGTGCACATCTCCAAATTAAAAAAATCTAAATAATGTAATGTTGCATTTTTTTTTATTGCGTGTTATATACAATTCTTTCAGGAGTATGTTATTCAAAAACAATTTGATTCACCAAAAATATCATCAATCTCATTTTTTAAAGTTCTTTGGTCCATACAATGACATTGTCAGGAAATAAAATTTATCACTGAGTGAATTGCTGACTGATTTTTTTCTCACAAGTTGTAAGACTTTTTTTCTCATGCTGAATTGTAGACGGAAAATTCATTTTTATTTTTCTACATTATGAATTTTATGTACATGGATATTTGCACACAAGAAGACCATGTATTAATTTCTTTTCAGGAATAGGAATTGTATTTAAAGACAAATACAGTGTACACAAAAATTCAATTAAATTTAACTTCATTGTTATTGTAAATACAACAAAAAATTTGATCTTGTTGTTTTCATATCTTTATATAAATATGATTGTCGGCAGAGTAATAGAGTTAACTATAAACATTCGTGGACAGAGTCATTTTTGCTAAAAGGAATGGTTCAAGATATGCTTATTGTATGTCAAATTAAAGGAAGGATATAGAGATAACGAACAGTATTCAATCTCGAAGTCCATAAAACAATATACATAATAAGAGCAGAGCAAACATGGACCTCCAAAACATAAGAGCTGGGATCAGTTGCAATGGAGAAGTAAGTATCCCCTGTTGACCGGTCACACCCACCGGTTGCTCCTTGTCAAGATTAGGAAATAACAGAAAAATTCATCATCAATTCAGTGCATAAATAACAAAACGGATTTAAAAAACACATATTCCGAAATGTAAAAGATGAAATAAACAATGATAAATACGAATAATATGATGTTATCTATGAGATTACTGTTTTCATCACAGCAAAATTTCCATAATCATTGAAATAACTATTATTATGAAAAGAAACATAGATTCGTCCATGGTATAAAGAATCAGTGACAAAATGCTCCATAACATAATCATCACAACATTGACAAAAACAGTTGTCGCCACATTGAACGTCACCTCAATCACAATTACTACAGTCACCGCAATCCCCACAATCACCACAGTCGACATCCGCCATTGTTAACTTCTTTCAACTACCACTCAACCACTGTTGAATAAAACAGCAATTTAATTTCCCCTTTTTTCTTCTGGTTAATAAATGTCCAAGTAAACCTTTATGCAATATTATAAATTTAATAATTACATGTAAATTAATGTCTACTATTGCATCGAGAGGACATAACAGTTTGGCTTTGTTATATATTATTTCCCAATTTTTACAATGCAAGAGATATGAAATCAATGTGTTTTTTCATTCAAATTGAGTTATAAAAATCAATTCCCAATTTTAATTGTTACATTCAGATTGTAGAATATTGGGGCACACTATATGCAAGTCAACATATCACTTTTTCTACTTAAACAAAACAGGGTCAAGGAAGCATTATTTTATATGATTACAAAACGGATTTTGTCTCTGTGGAGAAAACACGTACAGTACCGACCGAACCCAGCCTAACACCAGAGCGAATGCGAAGCAGACCCCGGGTTCGCTTCCCGGGTTCGCTTTCAGAAATTTTTGGACCGCTCTTGGTACGCTTTGGGTGCGAAGCGGTTCGCTCAGCGTTCGCTTGGGTCCGCTCTGGGTCCGCTAGAGCGAACCTTTCAAATTCAATTCAATTTTCAATACTTCAACTGTACATTTGACGTAGATTTACATCTATGATTGATTTCCTTGATTTCGATCCAGAGAAATTCAAAATTATCTGACAGCGGGTTATTGGGCATTTATTTTTCTTTAGTTATAATGTGAAAACAAAAACAGAAAAGGAAGAAAAAGGTGTTGAATTGATTTTCAATGTATCGAATGATGTTCAAGTAAAAATTAGCCTCTAAAAAAATACCTATCGAATTCATGCATTCTATACTTTAAAATTATATTTATTATTCCTTAAGTTTTGCAGAATCGTAGTTTAAATCTTTACCAAACACGTGAAATGTGTATCGCATCTGTAAATTACATTTACCTTTTGTACACTTTATAAATTTAGATTTTATTTATAGTAGATACACATTGAAATTTGTTACAGTTCAAGAACGGTGTCTTGTACATGACAAGCAAGGGATTGGATGGTGAGTGTTTGCAGTTAGTGTTACCAGAATGTCTTAGACCACAGGTAATGGAGTCTCTGCATGATTGTTCTGGACACCAGGGTCGTGAGAGGACAGTTGCACTGGTGAGTAAAATATGTTACTGGCCAGGAATGCAGGCAGACGTGATCAAATGGATCGAGAGATGTGAAAGATGCAAGATTGCTAAAACACCAGTTCCAACAATTAGGCCATCAATAGGTAACTTGATAGCTAAACAACCATTAGACATTTTGGCAATGGATTTTACATTCTTGAATTTAGATCTACCTTCAATTTATATCGGTAATGCGTTTTCTAGACCAGGAATTTAATTTTTAAAAAACAAGTTAAACTTTTATATACTAGGTAGAAGAAGGATATGGAGATAACGAAAAGTATTCAATATAAAAGTCCATGAAACAATACGAGATAGGAGCAGAACAAACACGACGGTGCCATGGAGGAGTGAGCATCCCCTGCTGACCTGTCACACCCGCCCTTTGTTCCTTGTCAAGATCAGAAAATAACGAAAAAATCCGTCGTCAATTCAAGGTATAAATAATGAACTAGCAATTAGTATGAAAAACGTCAGTCAGCATTTGACCCAATGATAAACTGTATTTGCTGACAAGATCATTGTATCGACCATAGAACTTACGAAATAATGACTTTTAAGTGATTTGGTGATATTCTTGTTTCAACAACTTGCTTGTCAATAATTTGTCTCGTTTTAGAAATTGTTCATACGTAGAACATGCTCTTGCGTATCGAATTAGCTGAGATATGTATTGACGGTTATATATATTCACCTGATGTTTCAAACTAATGGCTAGTGCATTATTTAAACACTGAAGTGACGACGGATTTTTTCGTTATGACAAGTAGCACACAGCAGGTGTGGCCAGTCGGGTGGAGATGCTCAATTCTCTGTGGCACCTGATCCCATTTCTGCTGTTTTGGAGGCCTGCGTTTGCTCTGTTCCGTTTCGTATTGTTTTATGGACTTAAATAATGTTCGTTTCTATTACAGAGAATGTTCTATTACAGAGAAACAGCTGCAAACAAACAGTCCCAATAGGTTTGGTTTAGGTTTTGATTCACTTTTATGACATCTATTGCTATTGATTCGGAAAACACATCCCAATTACTTGGATTTTAATTAAATCTGTAATGACCAATTTACTTATATGTCTAAAACGCTTTTTTTTCAAATAAACAATAATACAAGTTTATTTATTGGCATTTGTGTGGAGTGATCTATAAAGTATATCATAAAAAAATATACATCAAGATACATAAATATATGTTTACAAATCTAGTGTTCCCTAGCGGAACATACGGGGTGGAGTGTAGGTTTAAGTGTGGTCAGTGTAGAGATGGCGTGGCTTGTCATCACGTGTCAGGCACGTGTGTCAGTGGATGTGAGCCGGGGTACACTGGTCAGGCCTGTAAAATAGTAGGCATTGATTTCCTTGTCTATACTTTAAAAAAATACAAAGATAAAAGAAATCATGAAAAAAGATACCTTACGAAAGATAATACTAAAAAAAATTAGAATATCAGCAAAATGTAGGGCACATTACTATTGAATTTTGTATGCGTTTGTATTTTGTTTCATAAGTAAATCTCTTTCTTTTTTTATTTTAAAGTTTATCCCTACGGTCAGTATGGAGATAAATGTGAGAAGTTCTGTGGAGCGGATGCTAAGTGTAACCCTGTCACCGGAGAATGCTGTGGTTGTACTGAGCTACTTAAGTCAGGTACGACATTTCTCAGAAAATTAGGAAATTTGCTATATCGTATGCTAGTAATTGTTCAAACCATGTAATGAATATTATTTAGGTTTCTCATTTCCAAAGGAACATATCAGATTAACACAAAAGATCTTGACATAAATCACATATTTCTTTGAATTAATTATTTGGTAATACATAGCTACACGTCATATCCTAAAAAAATGTTATTATCTCTGAAGTTTATTTGTTTATAACTATTAATTGTCATGAAACATTTTATCCGCATCATAGAAAAATTAGAAAGAGGTAAAAAAGGAAAGCGTGGTTTTTTTTTAGGCTTTGGCAAAACACTAAAAACTTGTTGTGGCCAATTTTTTCCAACTAGAGAAAGGAAGAAAGATACTGCTCATGTCACTATGAAGTATTCATAAGCGTATTTAAATAAGTTTACCTTTCTATTTTGTGTATCTATATTTATGTATTTCCTCGTGACATCTTTAATCTCCTATTAATACTTAACAGTGAAGGAGAAGGACGCCAATCTTGACCACGAGGAGAAGGTCGTGATAGGTCTGGCCGTCCCTCTGGGGGTCTCCCTCCTCCTCAACTGTATCCTGTGCTCCGCCACCTGCTACTTCTACATCATCTACAAGGAGGAAATCGTCAAGAAACGGGACGAGAGGGACGAGAAAAACGAACACTTTCTAAATTAATTATGAACAAAAGGTTCATTTTAATGTAATGTTACCTCAGCTTCTTATAAAGAGCAAAAGCCATCTTATGCATAAAATGGCCCTGTACTTATATCAATTAATTGACTCTCAACCTCTTTCCATTTTCATATATCAAAATAAAGTAGACACTTGTTGCTGTCATGTTCTATAAAGAAATTTCGTTTTGAGAATCCAAATATTTGAAAACAGGCTTTGAGAAATTGCAATGTTCTTGAAATTTGCAGAAAACATGCGTATTTGACTACTTTCAGCAAAGAATTAAAATATGAGCACAGCCCACGATCCAAAAAATAAAACATGCTTTTGGATCTTCAGAAATAGACCTTTCATTATGTATTGGCATATTTTGGATCAGAGGTTGTGCTCTATATGAAATATTGAAAAACTGCTTCAACTTTAGGTCATTTTTCTAAGGAATTTACAGGATATGAGGAAAATGACGCAATTTATAACGTCATAATGCATAAATTAGATGTGAAATTACGTCACAATTAATAGATTCGTGGTCACCAACAGTCCAAGTGATAAATACTGCATTTGCAACCTAAACTGAGCAGTTTTGAATTTTCAGAAATTCTCAGGGCCAATAAAGCCCAAAGTGGCTCTACCTCTTTTATATTGTTTTTCATCTGGAACAGTGTAAAGTTGTTACAGTGGCAGATTATTTTTTTTTCAAAAATATTTTTACTTATTTGGATTTTTTACGTATTTAACCTATTGGATTATATTTTAATCACTGTTATTTTGTACATGATTTTAAGTTTATATATACAAATTCGATGATTCAACACGTAAAATTATATTACAACATACCTTGCACTGAAATCAAATTAGAAATGTGTTTTTGTTTGGTTATTTACAAAGGTGTCAATAACTGAGATACATCATAATAAGCATTTTCCGATGTAATCTTAAAAAAAGGAGACATGCCTTTTTTCAGGGTCATTAAGACAGAGCAATTTTGCTTTTTTTAATGAAAAAAAAATATGAAATGTCTAAAACTTGTGAACATGCGAGTAAATCTTAGTAGATAATCAATACTGTAAATCACTTTTTTCGCGAGATCTTTATTTTCGCGCAATACTGCGAGATAGTGTGCCTGCAAATATTTAATTCTCGCGTATGGTAGTATTTCTTTGGATTATATTAGAGCAATAACCCTAATTCGTAAAAAAAAATCCTGGCTTATCAAGAATCAATGCCTATCTCGCAAAAAAATATCGCAAAAATTTGGTGATCTACCGTAGTCTGTAGTAGAAGAGATAACTTATACATAAAACAAAGGAGCAATACTGTCACCTCTTTATTAAACTTAAATGTAATAACGTGCAAAATCAAAATTGAGTACAGTGATCGTGAAAATTGTTTTTTGAGTTGTTCAGATAACTAATGTATATACGAGGGGTGATCAAAAAGTTCGCAAACTAATTGAATAACTTCCATACAAGAAACAATATTTGGTTTTAATGTTGATTATTTTTTTAATTAATCCTCCCCGATTTTAATGCACATCAACCACCGTTCTGCGCAAGCGCGAATCACGTGATATTGGCGGTCACGTGACCCCCTCCGTAGCGTTCTGTCACAAAAGTTAGAAGATTTTTCCGAGTTTTATATCTCTTTCCATGTGAGTTAATTTTTATGACAAGAACAGTTTATTTTTCAGAAATGGTCATATCTCGGCAACAGAATGGGTGGATATTAACATCCTTTCCAAAAATAAGCATGGCGACCATTAAAACACAGATCTTCTGTCTCAGGAGAGACCTTTATTCAAGGTGGATAGAGAATGGACGCATCCTTTTTATCATATCTAATATGTTTAAAATCTAAAGTTAATGATATCTTAGGTATTTAATACTTATATCATTGTTCAAATATTCAACTATTTTTCAAAGTGCTAACTGGAGGTCTTTGATAGCAAATTGCTTAATTAAAAATACATATCTTTTCAAACTTGCTTTCACTGGGCAAGATGACAAGTATCATTTTTAACCATCAGCCTTCCTTCACTAAATTAAAATTATTAATCCAATCATTAATTGAATTTATAGGAACTTATTTATCTCAATAATCTTTGTTCAAATTATTATATGATACTGTAGAGGGATTTCTAAGATATTACAATAAATTGTACAGTCGTTTGTTGAACGAGTTCGACTGAGACAACCATTTTTCGTCACAAGTGACCTAAATAGTGAAGTTATTTTCACATTGTGACGTCACAAACAAGGAGAGAAACTTTATTCAGCATATGCTATTTATAGACCTTGTGTATGACTATGTAACGAATTTCATTCTACTATGAATTGTGGTTTTGTAGATATAGAGATAGTTGCGAACTGTTTTATCACCCCTCATAAGTTCATTATCCTAAGCATATTTAACAATGTAAACAGACTGCTATTCTTATATTTTTAGCATATCATAAAATGATTTATTATAATATTTTATTGATGCATGTAACTGTTTTGTTTTCCTCAGCTACACATTGATTAAGTTAAATTGAAGTATTATATCTAAAATCACCACAACACTATTTCCAATACATATTTTCATCACTTTTTCATTTTATTGAAAGAATGTGTTTCCAAGATATTGAGGATATGCATGCTTTTTAAACGACTTTTTTGTTTGGACATTGCTAAAACGTTAAAGCTTGTAGGTATGCCATTTTTTTCATTACATAAAATCACCAACTCAGGAACAGTTTTTAACCCAAATGGTAAGAATTCAGATTTCTTTATAGATTAAAAGATTGGATATTGTGCATCAAATGTAATATACTTGTTTGTTATATACGTCTATGTTGTTATTGAAACAAACAGGATGAGTGTTGTTTTAAGAAATAAATAATATAAAAAAATTCATGTACAGTATGCAGTTGATATTTTACGGCTTTTATATGCCAAAAATATGTAAAGTTATTATCGTATTGTTTATTTTTTTTCGTTTAATTTACTTCAGATAAATGAGACTTTTAACCGTTCGTTATATTCAGTACAAATAAATAAATATGAGTTTCATTCATTTTAACAATTGGAGTTCTAGAATGTTTTATTATAATTTGGATGATCTCGACGAAAAGGTTATGAACGTATTTCGGAATTTTATGTAAACTTTGGTATCACATCTGTTCCCACGAATTAAAAGAGAGAAAAATCAATGCATAGTCCTAATAATATATTTTTGTAATTTTAGAAAAAATAAAGATAACTTAGAAAAAAAAAATAGTGTATACATGTATATGTAAGAGCCATAAAATGAAGCAAATGAATAGGTGAATATTTATAGAATTATCAATGAAAATATAAACAGGCTTCTCTATCTTAATTTGTCGAAAATTGATATAGTTAGGTATGCGCTTAGATTTTAAAAAGATGTCAGCTAAAAGGGGTATGGTGTACTAAAAAGGGTACGATGTACGCAAACTAGAAATGTTGTAACCAAATAGAGGTATAGTGTTCTAGAAAATAGAAACTCCGCATGCAGGTGAAAGAGGTAAATTGCTGTATAAATTAGGGAAGATGACGATTGAAAAGTTAACGGCATCGTGTTTATCATAAAAGCTTTGTTGTTATGTAACCATTTACATCATTTTTTAAAATAAAAGATCTAAATATGAAACAGATGTGGCATCTTTTGTTTCTAGATCACAGGGATATATATATCATGTCGACATAAGATTGGACATGGCAATTGTGAAATGCAAATACGTCGTCGATATATCTATAATTGTCGAGTAGAAGGTTTCAACAGGTGTTTTCTTCTTTTAACGTAAATGAAATATAGAGTAAACAGTTTTTGATATCAAAGATTTATCAAATAAAAAAAAAATACCTGGTGTATAATAAAAAAAGAATTATTAACATATATATGCACTAGGTGACATACATGTAATATTAAAAGAATAAAAACAAATAGGAAATAAACAAAAGAAAAGATAAATCTTTTTATGCACAACCGATTCCATGGCAGTCACTTGATTTTGTGCAAAAAAGTATCAATTTCAAAAACACATAGATACACACTTACAAAAAATATTTCAACGAAGTAATGGTTGTGGTGATTCAATGAATAATAAATATTCATATATTGATTAAAAAATGTCATATACAATATCTGGATGTGACCAGTTTTGCATCATTTTGCTGTGTTGATGACAACAAAAGGCAGCGTTTATAACGAATAAATAATAGTTGAATTATGAGAGTAAAACTGCTTTGCAGCATGCAAATTATGTCATATTCAAAAGATTTCAACACTATTTGGTGTCAACCACACAGCTTGGAGATGTATATTTGTTTAATATGTTATGACATAATTCGGCTATTTCAGACGAAGGATGATTGTTCCCAAGCTGGCATAAGTATTTTCGTAGGAAAATTGGAACCAGTGATTCCTGTAAAAAAGGCAGTAGGTAAAATTATAAACAAACTGTAATCCTTCAACAGAAATATTCCATTCTATAGATTTTTGACAAAGATTGATTGTTTGCTTGACAATTCAGGTGTTAAAGCAAGTTTCGTATTATTTCCGGTAAATTAAATGATTTTTTTTACCAGAATTCTACAGCAACCTCCTATTATCTTTATTTATAAGAATCTTAATGAGAAGTATCTACACAATACCGATGATTCCACGCGGATGAACGTTCAATCTGAAGCTCCTTGTTGTAAAACAAACACTTTAAAATAACTATTTGAGTCAATTAAGTCCCTCATATATGACCTTATTCGCAAAAAATCATCATGTCCAGTGTATGAGAAATATCTTATACTAATTGTTAGCCATTGTCTATGCATATGTGAAGACTTTTCTCGAGTACCATGAGACTTAGTGCCAAGCAAAGCAAGGAACATAATTGAACGCCTACAGAAAATTTAAATGAAATCCTTAGTACATGTTTCAAACAAGAAATAAAGCATTTATGTGTTTCTTGTTATTTTATCATGATAATAATAGCTTAACCCTTTTAC